CATGAGGGGCAGCGGGTATAGGTTGCTTTCACTGATTGTATTCAGGGCCCTATAATCCACGCATAAACGTAAAGAGCCATCCTTCTTCTCTCTAAAAAGGACCGGGGCAGCCACTTTAGGCTTGGCTGGCTCAATGAAACCTCTCTCCAGGTTTTTTTTTATAAATCTTTCCATTTCCTCCTTCTCCTTTGGGCTCATGGAGTATAATCTGGGCTTCGGGAGTTTTGCCCCAGGCTTGAATTCAATGGTACAGTCTGTGGGTCGGTGGGGGGGAAGCTCATTCGCCCTCTCCTCACTGAAGACTTCAGCAAGGTCCCTATATTCCTCTGGTATTTCTGTTAATCTTTTTTCCTCTCCTATGGATGCTTTTTCTATTCTTGATTCTGGTAGCCTCCCTTGGGGTTTTAAGTCCATAGGGTCCCCCTTCGGGAATTTGATTTCTGTCGTCCTCCAATTTACCCAGGGGTTCCATTTTTTCAACCATTCCATCCCTAGAATCATTGGGCATTCCATACCTGGGGTCACCACAAACGTTAAGTCCTCTTCATGGTTGCCCAGGGAGAGATGTATTGGCAAAGTGGCTAGGGTAGCTGGCACCCCCCCTGCTATGGATCCATCTAGCTGGCCAAATGAGATTGGTTGTTCCAGTCTCCTGGATGGGATGCCCAGATTCCCCACTAGTGTTGGGCTAATGAGGCAGCGGGTACAGCCAGAGTCTATTAAGGCTTTCACCTTCACAGCTTCGGGCATGGGGGGGATTAATATAGTCACTGTTTTGAAGATGGGTGTGATGCATCCACTTACCAGGGGTTCGCCCTCCGAGCTGTCATCTGAGGCATCCACCGGCCCTGTGGTGTAGGCTGGAGTCCTTTCCCCTTGGTGAGCAGAGGTGGGGGTTTCTGCAATTTCCATCATTCTCATGGCCGTTTCTTTTGGCTTAGCTGAATACTTTCCGGGTTTGTTGATTGGGGATCTGTCTGGGTTGTGCTGGGGGGCCTTTGAGCGGCATTCTACAGCTCGATGCCCTTCTCTTCCGCATTTGAAACATCCCATTTGCTTCTTGGCTGTATCCGATGATTTCACCGGTTGGTGTGTCAGCTCAGGCGGGGGGCGGCTCCATTGTTTTCCTCGGCGGTGCCTCTTCAATATGTCGATCTCTGCTTCCTCTGCCAAGACGTACCATTCCTCAAGTCGATGTGGGTCCCCTCGGGGCAGGCAAGCATCATATAGATCATAGTTTAGTCCGTCTTTGAAACGGCCAAGGAGGATGTCTTCTGGCCAATTCAGTTTGCTGGCAATGGCCCGGAATTCTTGTGTATACTCAGCCACTGGGCGTTTGCCCTGCCTCATCGTTGTTATTCTTTCACGGGCTTTGCGATCAGCCAGGGGGTCTTCAAATCGTCTTCTCAAAGAGGACATGAAACGGTTGAAGTTACTGAGTTCTGGGACATTGGAGTCATGCAAGTTCACTACCCAATCTGCAGCTGGTCCATCCAGGGCAGATTGCACGATCCGGATGCGGGCTTTGTCGCTGGGAATATCCTGCCCATATTCCTCCATGTAGCTGAGGACTTGGGTTAGGAAAAACCCCAAGCGTGTTGGCTCCCCTTTGAATTTCACCTCCAACGGCGGATGTCTTGGAATGGATCGGTGCCTCCGTTGTTGGTGGTAGTGTCTTCCATCCAGATCGCCATCTGTGGTCCAGCAGGGGGTGAGGACTACTGGATCAGCAGATGTCCCTGGGGTTGCAGGTTCCACGCCCCCCTCGGTGTCTCTCCTTTTGCGGCTCCAGGAGCTGAGGCGGCTGTAGGGCTCAGGATTCTCCTCTCCTAGGGAGCTGAGAGTTCTTTTCATCAGGTCAATAGCTTTCTCTAGGATCCAGTCTGAGTACGGTGCCCAGCTTCCTCCCTCTTTACTTGCGTGCAGGGATTTCTCCATCTCCTGCTTCCATTCTGGTTGCTTGGTCCCCCGTCTCAGGGTCACCTTTCTTGATTCCTTTCCCCACTCACTTTTCTTTCCAACGCCCATCGACCAGCGAGGCTTGGGTCCTGTGTCTCCACCACTTCTTCTCCTGAGGAATCTGGCCTCTCGGATCCCAACATCTGGCAAGGTTCCAACTGGGTCAGCGGCTCTCTTTCCAGGGAGTTTTCCCCCTCTCTTGCTCCATTGTCTGACATGGTAAATTTTTGCAAAATCCCCCGGCAAGGGTCTTCCTTCCAGGTGGATTAATTTTGCAAGTCCTGTCTAATGTAAGGACCCACCCCACTTTGCACCTTAAGAAGACAGAACTCTTGGAATAATTCTTCCAACAGGAATCCTTTATTAAGAGAAAATGGTTGCAGGCATGCTAGACAGGACTTGGGGTCCAAGCTCTCCCATTCAAGGTTTTAAGGGGTTCCCCAGTAGTCCCACCCAATCAACCCCCCCTTCCAGTGATAGTTTCAAGTATCACAATTCCACTCCCTTTCTTCTTTCTTCCGTCTGGATGGAGACTTCAGATAACTACATGAAAGGCAATTACTCTCCTTTGGTATGCTAACACTTCGAGGTTACAATAAACACACATTCAGCATTTAGCTTTTTGAAGTGTAAAGAAGGAAGTGAGGGCCATAAAGCCCCTTTGTTCTCCCCCTTCTCTCCCTCTTATGGCAGAATCCAGAGAAGGCAGAATTGGGAGTTTCTATATTTGATAATTTAAAGATGAAATATAATTGGATTCTGACAAATAGTGTATCTCATTTAATTCTAGTTCTCATAATCTCTGCCTATTGGTAAATAACAAAAATGTTTATAATCCTTCTGGAGCCAATAAAACATGATTTATTCCTCTGTGAATTTAGTATTCAGATTTTATTCAGCCCTAAAGTTGTTTTAATATGTTTAAAATCCAAAAGAACTCTGCCCCAACAATTTCTTCTCTTAAATGTAGGAATATATAGGAAAAACCTGGCCTTGTATGTATGCATGTACACATTGTTCTGCTAGTTTCCTTACTGTGATGTGATGCTTGATTTTCTCAAAAACTTGGTTTTCAAGTGGGCCCTGACACTAAGCCTGCTTCAGCATCAAGTCTCTCTTATGCTTTTGGAACCACTCATCCCCTTCCAGGGATTCTCCTAGTCACTGGATCAGTAAGTCTCCTCCAGATTGAGGGGGTTCCTTCTGTGGCTGTCTCACATGTGCTGGCATCACAAGTTGCTTAGAGGGGATGATAGAGTTAACTATCAAGAAATCTTCCCTAGTGCTGTTATTTTGAGGCAGGCATGAGAAGGCTTTCATGGTTCCGACAGATGAAACTCTTCAAAAGAACTTTGAGGCATTGTTTACCTTAAAGCAGTGATGGTGAACCTTTTAGAGACTGAGTGCCCAAAAACCGCCCCATCACTCTGCCCCGCCTGCTCTACCCCCACCCTGCCCCCACCCCACCTGCTGGGCCACCCACCACTTCCACGGCCCACCACAGATCACTCAGGCGGCCCTGCAGTGCCATGGTGGCCACGCCCTCCACCCACACCCCACATCATCTGCTGCAAGAGGGCACGAGGTTAGAGTCTTGTCCCTGCTGCCCAGCTTCCATGTGCTTGGCTGCACTGCTCCACACCCAGGGGTGACTCTCCTCTGGGGGGGGGCTGCTGATGAGGGGACCGCGGGGGGGAGCAGGGCTGGGGCGATGATGCGTGTGCCCACAGAGAGGGCTCAGAGTGCCGCCTCTGGCATACCTGCCATAGGTTCGCCACCACTGCCTTAAATAATCTTTAAGGTGGCACAAATCCTGACTGCTCTTCTCCTTGTCCTTCTCCCCAGTTAAGGGGTGGCAGCAGCTTCAGTTTCTCTGCTCCTTCCGAAAGGAAGAAAGCAGAGGAGCAGAGCAGGATTGCTCTCAAGAAGACGCTGGTGTGCTGCTCGCTCACGTGCGCCAGTCTTATTAAGAACAATCCTGCTCTGCGCTTCCGCTTCTTTCCACTCAGATGGAGCGGAGAAACTCAACCCGCTATTGCTCAAACATTTTTTTATCCAAATGCAGACCTGAGAGAGATTGGAAGGTCCATGTGCCTGCCAGTGGGGTGGGAAGTTTGCCATCACTGCTTTAAGGTAAACAATGCTGGGAAGGTCACAAATGATGATCACATGACCCCAGGATGCTATGATCATTGTAAATACATGCCAGTTACCAATCACCCACATTTTGATCATGTGACTATAGGACTGTTGTGGTTGTAAGTGTAAGGACCAGTCATTTTTTTCAGTCCACTGCAACTTTGAACAGTCACTAAATGAATGGCTATAAGTCAAGTACTACCTGAATATTTCGTAATCTCCCCCCCTTTTTTATATGCCCAGTGTTTGTTTTTTGATATTTGCCAACAGATTGTCTGCCCCCTACCTCTCCACATAAATGGATCATTGCATAATCTACATTGGTTTCTGTGCATTTTGTGTACCAGGAAGACTAATAATTTTGCAGATATGTTACCTAGCTCGGCATGTTTCAGAACACTTCTGATTTCTACTTCCCAGCAATTCTTAGCAGCTGAGAGGGGGATTTCAATGCAGATCTCCTTGAAGCCAGATACTGTATATGTATGTATATTATACAGATACACAAACACATAGACTGTAGCATCACCTGTTTCCAAATTGATCTGTTATTAATGAAGTTGAAGCACAAAATAGGGAGTTTATTTTGTCAAAATGAAATTTAGAAAGAGATTTGGAATCAGATATGTCTTTTTTTTAGCAGATGTATCTTCTCAATTGTATATGTTGCTCATATAAATTCTGCATTTCTCCCATCCATTGTAGCTGTCTCATGCTTCATCTCATAGACTCAAGAATAGAAAAAAGATTTTGGCAGAGAGCTGAAGCAGAAGTGAGGAAAACTTCTTTATGGCAACAAAACTCATTTTTTTTTTCATTCCAATCCATAGACTAAGTCAGTTATGGTAATGATAGTAACAGTTAAAATATTTTATAAAAAAATATAATGTTCAATTTTACAGATGCTTTTGTAAATAGCCAGGAATGGACACTAAGTCGATCAGTGCCAGAACTAAAAGTGGTAAGTAATTTCTGAATGTGTGAACTTATTTTTCATTTAAAAGTTTTATTTAATGCCTTTGGATAGTTTAGATGAAAGGAATAATTTCTTTCTTTCATCTCTTTAAATATTGTTAAACAGTATTATATATATAAAGGTGAAGAAAAGTTGCTGAGCTATTTCGTGTCCTTAGATGTGCAACATATTAAATTTTCCTTTAGGACAAATATACATATGGAAATATTTATTTTGGCCAAAATAATACTTATTAGCTATATTCTCTTATTGTTTGCTGTTTGCGGATTTCAGGTAGAGAAGACCTACCTCATGATGTTGACAGAATACTGAAACTTGGAAGTATTCTATATGTGTGTGTAATTATGTATAATTCTGATTTTGTGTATTATTTTTCAGATTATTGTGCATGTTAGAACTTCAAATTCTAGATAAATCCTTAATTCTGAGTGATATTTGTTCATCTTTCAAATAATATTTGGATTGGCTTGAGGGAAGAAAAAGGTTGATGTAAGCTTCCCATTTTAAATAAGCTCCTAATAGTTTTCAAAATGGAGGATTAGGCTTGTTAACCTGATCCAGATAAAGTTCACTCCCCATATCCTCATCTTTATATCAAAAAAAATTCAGTGTTTTTATTCTTGAACATTTTATTTAATCTCTGCCTATTGGTAAATAACATAAATGTTTATAATCCTTCTGGAGCCAATAAAATATGATTTATTCCTCTGTGAATTTAGTATTCAGATTTTATTCAGCCCTAAAGTTTTTTTAATATGTTTAAAATCCAAAAGAACTCTGCCCCAACAAATTCTTCTCTTAAATGTAGGAATATATAGAAAAACCTGGCCTTGTATGTATGCATGTATACATTGTTCTACCAGTTTCCTTACTGTAATCTGATGCTTGATTTTCTCAAAAACTTAAATATGACCTCCAGCTGCAAATATTTGCCAACTTCTCTCTTAGGGGGATCCTTTTGCATTTGTAAGCTGTCTTAGATTCTGACTGTTATGGTAGCCTTGAAATTTAGAGAAGGGAAACTAAAACTGTGGAGGACTTTCTTGAAGTTAGTTACTCTATAGAAGTATGGATATTTGAAAAGACACAGCTATTCTAAAGGTGTTTCTGCAGTTATTGAAAAGAATGCATTTATTGCTGGCATTTAGATATTAAAAAGAAGGTATTTATTGCTGGCATTGTAGGTGTAGTTAGCGCTTGGTATTTGTACTTAATTATAATTAATGCTCTTTATTTTTACCTTTTGGGCATAAATCAATATAAGTATCTAAGAGTTTAGTATTATAATAATAATAATAAAGTTGGAAGGGACCTTGGAGGTCATCGAGTCCAACCCCCTGCTCAGGAAGGAAACCCTACACCAATGGTTCTCAACCTTTCTAATGCCGCGACCCCATAATACAGTTCCCCATGTTGTGGTGACCCCCAACCACTTATTACATCACTGGGTGCCAGGGGCTTGGCCAAAGAAAAGGGGGAAAAAATGGCGGACAGCCTTGTTTGGCGACCCCTGTGAAATGGTCGTTCGACCCCAAATGGGGTCCCGACCCACAGGTTGAGAACCACTGCCCTACACCATTTCGGACAAATGGCTATCCAGTCTCTTCTTAAAAACTTCCAGTGTTGGAGCATTCACTGCTTCTGGAGGCAGGTTGTTCCATTGGGTAATTGTTCTAACTGTTAGGAAGTTTCTTCTTAGTTCTAGGTTGCTTCTCTCCTTGATCAGTTTCCATCCGTTATATCACAGTGGATAGTTTCTGTTTATTCTGTTTGCAAATTCATTCAAGAACAAATAAAAACTAACTCATATTTTATTTCCACAGGGAATTGTGGGAAATTTAGCTAGTGGTAAATCTGCTCTTGTACATCGTTATCTGACTGGGACCTATGTCCAGGAGGAATCACCAGAAGGTAAAATGACTGATAGTTTTAGAAGCACAGTGCTCTTAAACCAGGGGTGGACAAAACTTGCAGACAAATCAAGTTCGTGTAGATGAACAAGACTAAGATTTTAATTCCCTTCTGAGACAGAAGTTTGGTAAGGATAGTTCAAGGGAGTTAGGTGTTTTATTTCAAGCCTATGTTACACATTGTTTTATTAAATTTATTCAATACTAGTTGCTAAATTAGCTTAATAGCTTTTACCTTATTTAGTCTCTCCTTCTCCCAAAGAAAGAATGCTTCTGTTTTTCTTGAGTTTGATGTTAAATCTCAACAGTGCAATTTCAGTGGTCTTTAATTGTTGGAATTGTCTTTAGCCTGATTATGGTTTGTCCACCCTTGTTAACAATAATCAAATACAGATAGTCCTCGACTAACAACCATTCATTTAGTGACTATTCAAAGTTATAACAGCACCTATTTTCACACTTATGACCATTGTAGCATCCATATGGTCACATCATCAAAATTTGGATGTTTGGCAACTGCATGTATTTATGATAGTTGCAGTGTTTTGGGGTCACGTGATCACCTTTTGCAACTTTCTGACAAAGTCAATGAGGAAGTCAGATTCACTTAACCATTTTACTAATTTAACAACTATAGTGATTCACAACTGTGCAAGGAAGGTCATAAAATGGGGAAAACATATTTCACAACTGTTTTGGATTCAGTTGTGATTGTAAATTGAGGACTACCTGTATGAAATATTACCATACAAAATACAGGTAGTCCTTGACTTACAACATTCCATTTAGTGACCATTAGAAGTTACAGCGGCACTGAAAAAAGTGACTTATGACCATTTTTCATACTTAGGACCATTTGTAGCATCCCCATGGTCATGTGATCAAAATTCAAACACTTGACAACTGACCCATAGACCTGGGGTCATATAATCACCTTTTTGCAACCTTCTGACAAGCAAAGTCAGAAGGTCGCTTAAAAACCATGTTACTTAAAAACCATGTTACTAACTTAACTGCAGAGATTCAAACTGTGGCAAGAAAGCTTATAAGATAGGACAAAACTCACTTAACTGTCTCACTTAGCAACAGAAATTTTGGGCTCAATTATGGTTGTAAGTCAAGGACTACCTGTATATGTACACCTAAATTGAACATACATTTCCCATGCTTATTTGTTTGTATTCTTAAAGAGATCATACTAATACAGTAATACACTTTGTTTCATATAATGCATCTTAACATATAAAGTCTTAAAACTATCGGTGCCAACTAGAATGCATGGTCTTTTCTAGTGAATCTCAGATAGACAACCTTTTTGAAGCTGTGAGAACATTTAGAATTTTGGAAACATCTCAGAGAGCCTCTCTCTAATAGTCTGTTATTGGAGAGGGGGCCTTGGTTATCCATAAAATGGTCCAATTTGTGGGATGGAAGGCATACTTAGAAATAAAGCACTGAGCTTCAGCCACCAAAATGCCTAAATGAGGGCTTAAATGGGGGCTGGAGTTTTTCCTTAAATAGAAGTGATAGTTGGGTGTTTTGCTATTTGATATTAACTTTTCCAATATTTATTTGTGTATTACTCGTAAATGGAAATAATTTTAAGAAAAAAGTCAGGCAAGTTAGTGAATTTGGTTTGTACCATAGTGAATTTGGTAAGTACCATAAGAGGTACCTAGAAATCCGTTGATGTCTTCAGACATTATTTTTGCCTACCTCTCTCTCTATATGCCTATATATTCTTTCAGCCAAAAAAAACAATGTCTAATTTTACTTATGAATTTATTTGCAGCCATGTGAGCAGTAAATTCTTCTGATGCAGGATTTTCCTCTAGACTACTTGTCATTTTATCAGTACCATTTATAATTATATTGTTACAAAATATATATATTCCCTAATATTTTATATTATGAAACATTCAAAAATATATTTTGCATGAAGCTCCTTCCCTTATTAGATTTGGATATCCAGTTAGATTTCTAACTCTAAACTTTTAGATATACAGATGTGTAACTGAATTTTTTTGGAGTAAGAATCATAATAACATTTATTTCAGGTGACAATCACTAAAATTAACATCTTGATTATTTGTATTTGTTCTCCTTATGAACTTTTAAATCCACATGAGACACTCAATTTCTGGTTCCTTTTTTTCCTTACTGGCTGGCTGTTTCATTCTTTGAAGATATGGATGCAGGTAACTATATGTCCTCTTCGTAGCAGCTCTTGTTTTGAAGACAGGAAGCGAAGCTTTTTATTATTTCCCTTTGTATACCATTTTGTTTTCCATTTAATTTTAAGTTAAGAATACATTTCATTGTTATCACATGCTGTGGATCTCTTAACAGTAGTTATATGTAGATCATGTGTCTGTAGCAACATTTGTTGAAATTACCATTTTTAGGGTGCTTTTAGTTTGTTTGGTAACAATATTTGGAGTAGCAACAAATAGCATTTGGTTTTAATGTAGAGGAAATGTTTAATTTTGTCTTTCTAATCATGAAACCTCTTCTTCAGAATAAATCAGTAAGATGGGATTGAGAAGAATACAATAGTGTTGAATAATGTTTAGTGTTTATCAGTGGCTTCTGCTGTTTAAGGCAGCTATGCCACAAGCAGTTCACATACCTTTGAAATAATTTTGTTGATGTATTACATATTATTAAAACAGTTGTACATGGAAGAAAATGAAATACTGTGTAAATAAAGTTTACCATAAAAGAACTGAGACCACTGTAGCCAGGTCAACCAATTTAATATAGGCAGTCCTCTGTTAACAATGTAGTTGGAACCAGAATTGCCTTAGGTTACTTAAAGCATGACTCATGTGACAACACTGCTTAGTAACAGTAATTCCCACACTATTGGTTGTCATCATTAAACAAATCACCAGCAATTGTTAAGTAAGAGCATCATATGGTTGCCATTTGCATCTGCTGCTGGCTTCCCCATTGACTTTGCAAAGGTGACCATGTGAGACTGTGATGTAATCATAAGCTGGGTGTTGAGTGGCTGGATTGCCATCATATTTCCGCAGGGACATTGCAACATCTGGAACTCTGAGGACTAGTTATGAATACTACTTGTTCAATGCTGTCACAAATTTGAATAGTAGCTGAATGAAAGGTCGTTATATGAGAACCATCTGTACATAAAGCTATATTAATAGGCTGAATAAAATTGATAAAATTGATGTCTAGATTTATATTATGCAGCCAGCAAGTTTCTATGGTATAGTCCCTGACAAAATTGATGGTACTTTTTATCTATTTGGAAATACTTCTGTGTTAGAAATATGTTAGAAATATACCATTAACACCTAAATATTTCAGATGACAAATAATTGTTTTAAGCCTTCAGATCCTTATGTTATCAGGTACACAATGAAAAGTGAGGAAATGATTAATAGTGATTCTATTCTGGGCCTTATAGCTCTATGTAACCTCGTATAGCTCTATGTAACCCTAACGAGTGAGCATGTATCAGTATGTTAGAATATCTGGCAGTTATGGGGTTAAATGCTGGATTTGTTGATGGGCCAGTGGGAGGAATTTCTAAAGGGCATTGGGAGACTTCCTGGACACAAGCCAGATTGGAATGTCTGTCTGAAAGAAGCATGGGCCATCAGATGTCACCCGATGAGCCTGCGCCGTTATAAAGACGGTATGGAAGAGAGCATTATCCTTTTACCTATAGGAATGGACAAAAGATGTATTTCCCAGAAGTAACAGCCACATGAATGCAAGTAATCTTTCTGATTAAAATATATTTTTGTTATGAAATCATTTCTATTGAGTTATGTATCTGACTTGATTTAAAAGAAGGCGTTTTTAACTCAGAGTCAGAATAGGTTCAGTATAATTACTTAGAATATATCAGTTTGGTTTTGAATATTCTGTATTAAGGAAATATGGGGTGGGAGAAAAGAGCTTTGCATTATCAAAATTGCAAGTAATGATGTTCAATTTGCACTGGGAATTATTCTATAAGTTATTGCAACAGTGGAAAGCTGTTGACTGAATCAGTAATGTAAGGACCTGCCTCAGCTAATTCTCCCAAGAAAGCAGAACTCTTGAAACTGGCATTGTTTCAAGCAGGAACTTTTATTGAGAGTTAGTGATAGCAGGAGAGCAAAGCAAGATCTAACGATTTCCCACGTGAATTGCTACATTAAACCTTTCATTCACACAAATCCCACCCCAGAACCCAACTGTCCAGTTTGCGTCCAGCCGATTCACAGGTGCGAAGTTATTATGGGAACCGGAGCTGATAAAGGACGGTTCACAGGCGCTTCACTGGATCTCGCAAAGGAGTGGAGATAAGGCAGATGGCCCCTGGCATATTCCTTTCCCCTTTTCACACCCAAAAAGATACATCAAAGTTTAGAAAGAATGTCAGGGCCCACTTCAATATCTCATCCCAAGAAAGCAGAACTTGTGGAAGCAGTTTCTTCCAAAAGGGACTTTTATTAGGAGAAGCTGATAGCAGGCATACTAGACAGGATCTGAGGATTTCCCGCCTAGATCGATAGGTAAAAGTGTCCCAAGCAAAACCCCACCCCATAGTTCATCTGGTCAGTTCAAATGGCCCAATCCCCAGGTGCTAAATTCCTCGTGGGAAAAGGGAGATAATATCAGTCTGTCTCTGGTTGTAGCTTCGATGTTTAGGCAGCTCTTCACACCTTCTCTTGGGAGCGCAGAGATAAAACAGTCACCGGAGGTTGCATTCCATTCTTCCTCTCCATTTTGCTAGCTGACATTAAGGAATGGGAAAGTTCACAGAGAAGTAATGCAGGAAAGCAAAGTGTTACATTGTAGTGATAGAGGAAGTCAAGGCAATAACCCTCAAGCACTCCCCCTCCCCAATAGGAGTATGGCAAAACTCAGGATGAGAAGAGAGTGAGATTCGGGTCAGAATGGAAGAGAAAAATATAGAGAAACAGGAGGGGGAAGGAAGGATTGGGGAACCTTTTTATATGGGTTCTGACAAAGAACAAAGTAGAGGAAATACATCCATAAGTCCCCCTCCCAGCAGAGCGAAGCCTCCCCCTCCCACTAGATGGCAGAGCGCCGAAAAGAAACATTGAAGGGGATTCTGACAAATAATGTTTCTTGAACTGGAGGCAATCATTTTGGTTAAAGCAGGACATAGAAAAGATATTATATATTCTTTACCATAACAATAACCTTATTCTTTCCATGTAACAGATTTACTTTGTGTGGATTTGAGAAAGTATGCTTTCTGTCTCTTCCATGTTTCATATGTCGAAAGCATATGGTGAATAGTCTTGAATTATGAATTCTTTTTGTAAATATGGAATTGAACGTTGGATATTAAATCAACAATTGAGACATGTATTTGTTGATGTATGCATGCACTACATTTGTATTCTCCTGCAATCCAAATCAACTGTCAGTGATTTATATGTAGTAATAGTAATCCTTTATCTCAGTCAATGACCAAAATTTGTATTCAGTAAAAGCCATCCATTATGCTAATAGTTTAACCTATATACGATAAGAATAACTAGTTTTAAAAATTAGCACAAATAAACATATATTAATAGCATTAAAGTTTTATTTTTATATATACAGAGTATATATACTTTGTGTGTATTTGGGATTTTAAAATCAGTGATAAATTCCACAATATAAATCTATATTAAGTGTATACTATTATATAAAACTATAATTCTAAAAATTATACTAGACAATATATAAATTACTTAGTAAATTATATTTAAATTATAAATTATCCCTAAATTACCAAAATAAGTGATTTTCAAATTGAATATTAATAGTGTGACTGTAATACTATGATGCAGAAATTTAGGGGCAGTATAAAAATAATAAAAGAATCTAAAGGGTTAATGGGCACTGCATTAATCAACCTGATTGCTCCGATGTCAAAGAGTGTACAAGTAGTGCTTGACTTGTGACCGCAATTGAGACAGGGACTTCTGATGTTGAGCAATTTTGTGTTAAGGGAGTTATTCCTAATTTTGTGACCTTTATGCCATGGTTGTTAAACAAATTATTGTGGTTGCTAAGTAACTCATACTGTCGTTAAGCAAATCTGAATTCCCCATTCACTTGTTGGAAGTTCCTTGGAAAGGTCATAAATGACAATCAAATAACTCCAGGTTGCTGCAACTGTTGTAAATACATGTCATTTGCCAAGTACATGAATTTTGATCACATAATTGCAGAGGTGCTGCAACAGACATAAGTTTGAGTATAATCATAAGTCACTTTTTTCAATGCTGTTATAACTTTGAATGGTTATTAAATGTAAGATTGGAAGTTGCTGAATAGGTACAACATGCTGCATAAAAATAACTTTACAAAATTATTTAACTGCATCCATAACTGGGTATTGGCTATTTGGTAGAGTTTACACATAACAAAACTTTGCTACTTTGAGAGATATTGTTATGTCAGTTGTCTAAGAGACAATGTAAATAAAAATTACTAGAATGCCCCAGAAATCTAATTAAAGAGAGGGGTTATGAGCTGGTGATGAATGTCCCTATAAAACTGATAATAAAGATGAATATAGGTCATTTTTTCTATCATATCATACTATAGGGCCAATATCATACTTTAAAAGAAATGTTCTTTTATTTCTCTTTTCTCCTTCTGTCTGGTCATTGCTTACGCTACTTGCTGTCTATCAGAAACGACAGAACTCATCACCTCCTGCCGGTTGCTTTTGTATTGGGGCATGTGGGACAATGCATCAGCCAGGAAGTTCTTCCCTCCTGGGATGTATTATAGAAATAGAAGTAGAAATAGAACAGAATAGAGCTGGAAGGGACCTTGGAGGTTTTCTAGTCCAGCCCCCTGCTCAAGCAGGAGAACCTATACCATTTCAGACTGTCTAATCTCTTCTTAAACACCTCCAGTGATGGAGTGCCCATGATTTCTGAAGGCAAGCTGTTCCACTGGTTAATTGTCCTCACTGTTAGTTTTAGTTCAAAGTCAAATCTTTTTAAATACTGCGCCCATCTGATTTGCTTAGGAGAATGTTTGCAGGGGGTTTTCAGGGCTTCTAAGTTTTTATGGTCAGTCCACACTTCAAAGGGGATCGTGCTTTCTTCCAGGAACTGCCTCCAAGTTAGTAGCACCCACCTAGGAATGCAAAAGCCTCTTTCTCCCACACCACCCATCGCCATTCTGTTTCATTTAGTTCAGACAT